AAGAACCTACCATAAATATTGTGCTAAGTAGTGTCAGTGGTGAGAGAGGTAGAGATACCAAGATTAATGCAACACACCATCAGCCATCAAGGCACAGACATTTTTAGAGGGGAGTTAGAGACCTGGCATCACACAATCCTGTTTGTAGAATATGGGTACAGATTAAGAGCTTCGGGAGGTCATGGAAAGGAGAGGTAACTGGAGGTTTCTAAGAAGGCATAATCCAGAAATGGTGCTTGATTGGACTTTGAAGGCTAGGCGGAGCTCCAGGCGTCAAAGGGAGGGGGTCTGAGCTGCTTCCTGTGTTCCCTGCTTCAGAGTCAGTACTGCCCACTTCAGGGAGGTAATTTTTACTGAAACACTGCTTTGAACGTGCTATTTGCTGGCTCGGAAGCTTTGAATACTTTCTGCTGCCTTCAGCGTAATGGCCAAATTCTCCATAATTGGCCTCAACATATAGTTATTATACTAAAAACTTTGGTTTTTAAGGTTATTTACATACCTGGGTCTGTAATTATATAATTTTGCCTTAATAGTTTTACTTTCCCCAACTTCCCTACGTGCCCCGTCTTTCTACCTCCCGGCTTTGCTAATACTACTCCGTTCTCTCAGAATGCAGTTGGTTGTCTTCCTCCATTAAAATTTTACCTTTCTTCAAGTTTTCTGTGAAAATCTCAAATAACATCAGACCAAAATGATCTTTCTTTGAACATTTAGAGCAATTACTATGCGTAGGATTTATGCGGTAAATGGTCACACACCCCCTTCACACACACTTCTGTTATTTGAATCTTTTATTGTGTATGCACATGGGCAAGGATGGAAACGAATATGCAAAAAAAAATTTGAGTTAAGAAGTAACATGTGTTCTTTTCCTTTGAATGTCTTCCAATGTGCTCTTATTTTTACAAAAATGTAAGCCTCTTGTTATATACTTTAAAAATCATTATGTCTCAGAGCATTAAACTAATAAGCCTAATTTGGTTTTACGTGTTTTAGTGTTCTGGCAAGGCCTTCCACAGTGATTTGTGTAATAGGAATTTATATGATTAACAACAAATACGCACACATGATAAGATATGGGGTAAAATTATATCCCACATTTGAAACAGAAGCAGTTTTTTGGAGGCTTTCTATTATGTCCTCACATATTTATTCTTATAGAGCTTATTCTTTCTTTATTATTTATGTTCTGTTTATGTGTCTCACCTGCACTAGATACATTGTAAGCTTCTGATTACAAGGACCATCCCCTATTCATGTGTATATCTTCCAGAGGGCCTTACAGATAGTTAGTGCCCTAAAATTTTGACTGATGTCAAATTAAAATGTTATACGTTTAGAATATTGCAGAGATAACAGTTAAGTACCTATCACCAAGAATATGTCTAAAGGCCCAAATTGACTTGCAAATCTTCTTACTGGTTTCCTGTGAACACATTTTAAAATAAGTATTTTGAAATATGTTCTGTTCAATTATCATTGCATACATGAGAATTATGATAAAGGATGTTTTCTAACTAGGCAGCTTATTTTGTATTATGTTGCTTATGGAATAACTTCATGTACCTAAATATGTCATTAACAACAGTATCTTTGGATTTATGGAGCCAGTTACTGAAAAACATTATCCTGTAGGTGGAAAGTAAAGGTAGTTTAGTATTTGTTCTAACTCTAATATTTGAGATTGGCTTATAAAATTAAGCTATTTTTCCTCCTGCATCTTCTTGCAAGTAGTAGACTGTAAATGTGCGTTATTTAGTAGATGAAAACTCTTTCAGTGGAAAGTCTCTTCACCTGGTGTAACTTAGAAGTTTCTGAGAGTAACATTGCATCTCAAGGATTCTTGGATCTAAAAGGAACCGAAGAAACAGCTAGTCCAGTTCCCCACCCTTTGTCTCTGTTTCTGTCTCACTATCTCTTTGTCTTTTAACACGCGCACACATACCCAAACACACACAGACAGACACTTTACAGCTAAGAAACGGAGATCAATTTAGGTCATACTCTTTGCCTAAGGTAGCACAAGGAGTCATCAACGATCTCTGTGTCTTTTGCTTTATATTCAGCCTTTTTTCTCTTAGGTGATTTTAAGGGGACCTATGCATAATTCAAGAGTCCCAAATAGTTTGCCTACTCCAGGGTAAACACCTACGGGTCTGTCATAGTTTGAAGTTATCACCACTAATCAGTGATTTATTTTAAAACATTTGCCCTTGAAAAAAAGCCTTAAAACACAATCACAGTGCTTGGAAGAGATGACCATATCCATGAAGAAGGCATGATCACGTTATAACAGTAGTTTTCCTATATCTTCCTAGAAGAGAGGAATGCCTGGAGGGCCCTGGAGAAGGAAAGAATGGGGAAGATCCGAAGGCCCAGGAAGAGCAGTGCTTTAGACACTCTGCATGCCCGGGGCGTGGTGGGCAGCCATAGGGCAGTGTGGGCGCATCAGACCCCTGGCCACAGCCGGACGCAGGCTTCACCTCAGCCACAGCCTCACCCCCAAACCTGAATAATGTAGATTTGGATTAAGTAGAGAAATAATTGGAGAGAGAGGAATTTCATAGTGATTAAGGGAATTAAGCATTTAACTAAAAACTTGAAAAATAACAACAAAAAATGAGGAAAGGAGAAAGAAGTTGCAACTCTGAAATTAGCAAATTGAAAGGCAAAAATACACACAAAATATCTTTAGTAATTAAATACAGTGAGGCTTTTCCCCACCCTCAGTTGAAGGTAGTATATGTTTTTTCATGAGTTTGAGTGAAGGGAAGCAGCTTAAATACATCACGGTTGCTATTTTGAACAACTGCTCTAAATGTGGTGTCAGTTTCTGATGCACTACTGAACCATAATGTCCCATCGCTTGCAACAGTTGACTGATGACTTCAATCTACTTTTTCTCTATTTATCGACTACTCCATTGATCTCCAAAACAGCTCCTATAAACTACTGAACAACTGGTTAGACCGTTCACTATTGCTAATCTCCCCAGAATAACCAAAATGAGTTGTGTTTTCTTATATCGATAGGTATTTACTCATGGAGTCACCAAAAGAAAGCCTTCATTCTTTTGAGAGATAGAGAAACATATTGCCTAGATATGTGAGCTCTGGTGTTAAATTATTAGGGTCATATCTGGCTCCTGATCCATCTGTACTCAAGTTATAATAATATCAACATCATTGGACTTTTCATTCAACAGATATTTGTGGAAGCCAGCTATGTGCCAGAGAGTTTCTAGGCACTGGGGTTATAGCAGTTAATGAAATCGACAAAAACCCTGCTCACACAAAGCTTACATTCTAATGGAGGCAATAAATACAAAAAATCAGTAAACTATATAGTGTGTTTGAAGGTGAAAAATGCCACAGAGAAAAATAGAACAGTATAAAGGGGGTGAGAGTCCTGGAAGAAGGGAAGGATGCGATTTTGAATAGGGTGGTCTTGGTAGGTCTCACTAAAAAGATAAAACTGAGCACAGACTTGAAGAGGGTGATGCCAGGAGCCGTGCAGATATATGAGAGAATTAAATTCTAGGCAGAGGGAACAGCTAGCATAAAGACTTTGAGGTGGGAGTATGCTTGGTGGGTTTGAAACAAAGAAAAGAGAGGGGCTGGCCCCATGGCCAAGAGGTTAAAGTTCCATGCTCTGCTTCAGTGGCCCAGGTTCACGGGTTCAGATCCTGGGCGTGGACCTACTCCACTCATCAGCCATGCTGTGGAGGCATCCCACAGACAAAGTAGAGGAAGATTGGCACAGATGTGAGCTCAGGGCGAATCTTCCTCACCAAAAAAAAAGAAAAGAGATCAGTGTGGCTGGACCTCTCTGGTGAACAGGGTGGAGAGTAGGAGGAGATGGCTCAAAGAGGCAGAGGGTGGGGTCACTTGAGTAGGACCTGTAGACCGCTGTAGGGACTTTGACTTTAAACCTGAGTGGAATGGTATTGTGTAGCAGTAGAGGGTTTTGAGCAGAAGAGTGACAGGATCCTCTTTGTAAAAGGATCGCTGTGGCTTCTGTGTTGAGACTAGACAGAAGGGGGACAAGTGTGGAAGCAGAGACCAGAGAATAAGTAATCGCAACCATGCAAGTAAGAGAACGGTGGCTCGGTCCAAGGTGGTAGCAGTGGAAGTGATGAAAAGATGTTGAATTTTAAATACATTTTAAGAAGTAGAGTCAATAGCATTTGTGGTGATATGGAGTGTAAGAGAAAGAGAAATCAAGGAATTTAGGTTAGGCAGTTGGAAATTGGAATTGGCACTAACTGAGAAGAGGAAGAATGGATGGATCACGAGTTGAATTTTGACGTATTAACTTTGAGGTTCCCATTAGACATCCAGGTGGAGATGTCGAGTTGTCAAAAACATATGTGAGTCTAGAGTTGGAGAGACAGGTCCAAGCTGGAGACGCACTGTGGGAGTTGTCAGAATATAGTGGAATTCAAAGCAATGAGATTGGATCATATCCCAGAGTTTGGGATCTGGAGTCAGACTAGTTGGTACCACCACTTATTAGCTGAGTAACTTTGGAAAAGCCACTTGGCTTCTTGGGGACTCACTCTCTTCATCTGTAAAACGAGAAGAAGAATAGTAACTACCTCACAGGGTTAAAATTAAAATTAAAATCACTAATATCTGCAAAGCACTTAGAGCATGGCATATTCTCAATACATGTTAACTGTTAATTTTCAGTACAACTCTTCTGTAGTATACTTGTGGAATGTCACGAATACTTCATTGACGCCTATTGTTATTAATGCAGCAATGCAGCTTTTCTTCCTGTCGTATTACATTTTTGCTTTGTGATTGTTAATTGGTACTAGAAGTTCCACTGGGTTGGTTTTGCTTCCAGAATTAAACTGACCTGGATTTTTTGTGATTAGCTCTGCCTCAGTTGTTGATATAATTTTAAAGCCTGCAAATATTTTAGAATCTGTTACTTGTTCAGAAAAAAATCTTATGAGTTTCTTCAGTGCTGCTCTCCTTTGCTTTTCTCAGTGCTCAGCAGAGGAGCAGTCAGGTTCACAAGAAAAACACAATTGGAAATCAGGTAGGAATTGTTCAAAGAATCAAATCAGTGCATGCATGCCCCAAAGAATTTGAACTAAATCGCTTGATTGACTATTTTTTTAATGCAAATTAATCATGTGCAAATTTTGCTGGAAATGCAGCTTTTTGTTTTGTTTTTGCTTTTAAAGTTTTTGGTGTGAATTGCACTTTTTTATTTTTTTTTTTTTTGCTATTTTATGCAGTTAACCCTATTGATTTATTTTAAATAACTTTTCTGCTCTTTGCTCTGCTTTTCAAATTTGACTTCTTGTGTCCTACTTTGCTTGCTTACATTACCCCTAAATTTGACTAGACATTGAATCTGTGAGTTGGTTCAAGGTTAAAATGTGGTGCGTAGCTGCATGCGCTTTCTGGTGCTGCTGACTAGTTCACACATTTGCACAGCTTGGTAACAGTGAAGGGACAGCTCATAAAGAAGGCAGTTGGTGGATTTAATCTCTGCCACACCAAATTCCTGTTGGTTAATGAAGATGTTAGTTCCTAAGAAGATCTGATCTTTGGAGTTTTGTGTTTTGGGCTGACCAGCTGTCTCTGACTAATAGCGCTCTGCAGAGATTGCATTAACTCCGACAGTTTGCTGTTTCTTTTATGTTTTATGTGATAATGAATATTTGCATTGTTATTTCTTTTCAAGTCAAAACAATGAAGATTTTATAGTTTTTTTTTAATTCAGAGGTACAATTATTGAACAAATTGAGACCTCTGCTCTAGAATTTTTTCCATTGTTTTGAAAGGGGAAGAGGTAATAACAGACTTTATTTGAAAAACTTTTTTTCTGAACTAAAGCATATAATTCTTTGCTATTTCAGGGAACCAATCTTCCGCCTTCAAGGCAAATTGTACGAGCTAAGTTCTGTAAGCTTTACTGTTGCTTTTTCATTTAGCTTCCCAAGGGCACAGTTTGTCTTTAACTGATTAACTCAACTAGCGCTTGCTACTAATTTTTTTAAACTTAGGTTGTCTTGTCCGTAACACCCTATCATTGAAATAAAAATCCTCTTGAGAGGGTTCACCCCTTCACTGCTAATAACTTGCTGTGATTGAAAGGTATGAACTAGTAAACTCTAAAATGCTGTAATAGTAAACCCTTAACACTCTGGTGCTTTGATATTTCTCTAATTTTAATGGGCCTTAAAAAAATTAAAATCATTAATGACCTTCACTCTGTCCTTTGATGCTATGTTGTTATAAGGTGTAAGCCTTTCTCTTCCCCTTGTATGATAATATGTGCAATGAATGTAGATGACGCTTCTATAAGGTGGGTGAACGTTAAACATCTGATTTCGATGCATTTGTTGATAAGCCTTCCCAATTCCAAAAATTCACATTTATTTTTTAAAAAAGATTAAAGAGCAAAGTTACATCAACTGACATTTTATGTGGCTTTAGAGTTGACTCTTTTAAAATCAGATGCTGTATCTTTTCATTTTGTGGAAGTGTAAAGATGCTGTTAAATTACTAGTATAGGAATTTTTTGAAAAAACAATTACACTTTCATTTCTCCCATGGATGAAGCAGCTTTAAAGTCTTTCTTCCAACTATGCACAAGTTGAGAATGAGATTAAGGCATGGGTCAATTGTTTGCCTCATGACATTTTGGAAGAAACAAACTTTGGAGCTAGACGTTCCTGGGTTCAAATTCAGCTCTGTCACTTAGTAACCATGTGGGCTTGGACAAATTAAACCCCATTTGCTCAATTGTGTGATGAGAAGAATAGAAAATATCTCTGCAGGGTGATTGTGAGAATCAGAAATACTATCCCTATGAGTTTGGCAGCTGGGTACTGGATATGTGCCCTGTGAAGAGTAGAAATCTTGTTCTCAGCAGGTAGGTGCTGTTTCTTGAAACTTTAAGGAGAAAAAAATATAAAGTATAAGAAAATTATAAAAGTTATAAAATGAGATCAATGAAATACTTGGGAAAATTAGAAGCTGTGGCAAATTATTCCGAAGATTTCAATGCCCAGGTTAAGGCTGGGTAAGGGGTAAAGAATTTATCGCTAAAACTTCACTCCTGCTCAGAAGCATCTCTAGTTCATAGAAGTATTAACTTAATAGAAAAGCAATCATTAGTGGCATAAATGCATACTTTAAATCAGATCTGAAAGGAACAGTTTTCGATTATATTACTTCCAAATGCTAAAATCATACTAATTGTGTTTCTATGACTTTATTTTTGCTGAGTACTTCAAAGCCCACATGGGAAGTTTTATAATTCAAGATAATAGAATTGGGTGAATGTTATAATAGAATACAGATCTCCCATCCAAAATCCTTGGGGCCAGATGTGCCTTGAAGGTCAGAACTTTTTTTATTTCAGAGAACAATACATTGCATATATCATATATTACCCAATATTGCCGTGCGGTCAGAGGCAGCACCCTGTAATTAAACACATTCTCTTTCTACAGTGAAACAAATGAATAGTCACATCAGGATGATTAACTGAGAGATATATTTTCACATCAGGTCAGGCTTTGCTGCCAAATTTGTTTGTTTGTAAGGTGTTATGAACCCAGATATTTTATTTTCAAGAATCAAATCCAATAATTAAATACAATATAATGTATTTTAAAGAATCCGTTATTGTTTTTTCCTGCTTAGCAGAAATGAACCATAATGACTTGAAACTATTTTCTTTATGAATCTGAATATCTGAGGTTGGCTTTGTATGAAAACAGTTTTTGTCTATGAGGAAGCTCAAAGCCAGGGAGCCTTGGAGCCCAGCCTGCTAACTGATGCTGGCTGTTATGGTTGGTGGGGTTGAAATACCCTGTGCTATCTCAGCAAGTGGTTCATTTATTCTGATATCCTCTTAGAGCTCCTGGTTGTAAGAGATTGCTGTGCAGAATCTGTCCTGAAATGTTTTAGAAGGATTTAAGGAAAGCTAAACTCCTCTTTAAAGTCTAAATCCCATTATTTTTGTCTGCCTGAAAATTTGTCTGCTTAGAAGTTCCATAAGTTGATGTCAACAGATGTGTGAAAAAATGTAACTACACAATTAGCCTCAAGTTGCCCTGTGCAAAAATTTAAACTTAAACTTAAATTTTATTCATCCCTTCACTCATCAAAAGTGTATTCAAAACCTAGGAGTGCCCAAAACTGTGGTAGATGTTTAGAACAGAATGATGAATAAATAATGGGTCCTGCTTTCAGGGAGCTCACCACCCAGTGGGAGTGATGGTAAGTAAGCAAATTGGAGTCTGCCTCCTTTTTCAAGGCTGGCTCCTTCTGATCCTTCAGATCTAAAGTCACCTTCTCTCCCCAGTGTCTTGCCATTATCCATCATCTTGTTATGTCTTATTTTTTATCTTCCTTCGCTAGGACCTAAGCTCCATTAAGGCTATTTTTTGCGATGCTGTAAGCAGTGGAGTATCATTGTAAGGTTTTAATCACAGTGACCATAACATTTTAGAAAGATCATTCTGCCTATAGTGTGAAGAAAGATTTTGAAGGGAGGATAAGATTAGAAAAAGGAGACTAGTTAGGAGGTTGTTGCCAACAAGAGATTATAGTGATCTGGGCTAGGCCATCTGAGCTGGATTTGAGGAGAATTTAGGAGATACTAAATAGGAAGGATCTAAAGGTTTTGTGATGAACAGGATGTTGGTGAGAGGGCTGGGGATCATCAGCAGTGCTGTCCACATATCTGATTTAGGCACAGATGAGATGGGGGTGCTCTTCATGGAAAAAGAAATATATGAGAATCTCAGGTTTGGCTTCTGAGTCAGAAAGGGTATGAGTCACTGTGGAAGACTGGAGTAAAAAAGTCCAGTGGGAAATTGGATAAAAGTGTCTAGCGTTCAGGAGAGACAGAGAACTATTTATTCCAAAAGTAGTAGGGAGCCACTGAAGGATTTCCAATAGGGAAGAGATATCTTCTGATTTGTATGTTGGAAATATCTAGGTTTCAGCCATATGGGATGATTTGGAGGAGTAAAACTAGTGATATGGGAATTGGTGAAGATGTTTTTGAAGTAATTAAGGTAAGAAAATGCAAATGTCGATAGTAGGAGAAGGGACAGATTCATGACATATTTAGAGAGTGGAAAGAGCTATAAATATTTGTGAAGTTGGGGGGCTAAGTCATTCTCCTAGGCTGTGGCTTAAGGGGATCCACTGACAAAGGAAGTGCAGATGGAGGAGGAGCAGATTTCAAGGGAGATGAGAGAAGAAAGTGGTGATTTTTGTTTCAAGTACATTTTTATGTGCCTATTGGAGACATCAGTAGGTTTTGAGGTTCAAGATTTGTCTAGACTGGAGATATAAGTTTTATAGTTGTCAGTGTATACATGGTAGTTGAAGCCATGGGAGTAAATGAGATTGCCTCCAAAGGATTAGAGCATAGAAGGAAATATGGGACTTAAAGGATGAAGGGGCATAATGAGGGACTAAAAAGGAGTCTAAGAAATGATAAGAGAGGTAGGAAAACTTGGAGAGTAGTAGAATGAGAGCCAAAGGAAGAGAATATTTCAGTGAGGGAAAGGTCAAATAGCATTAGATGTTTCTGAGAGCTCGAGAAACATTGGAGAAATTGTCAAATAGGTGGACTGGTAGAAGGTCCTGTGCAGTGTTGGGGACAACCTGAGGTAGTACCAGTCCTCTTGGTCTTGTGAATTGCTCTTCTACCTACAGCTGGAAGGTAACATAAAGCTGAGAAAGCAGAGAAAGCAGTGAAATTGATATTCTGAGTTGGGGTTTTTCCAGGGAGGCAATGTCAAGAGAGCTTGTGAGTTAAAGTTTTGAAGAGAGAGAGGTTGAAATAAAGGCTTGTATAATGTAGTATGAATGGTTTTCATTGATGTGTTAGTCAGGACAAGTTAATCAAGTAACAAACAACCCCAGAATTTCAGTAGCTTAACATAATAATTTAAGTCACCCTGCTGTAACAATCCAATGAAGGTCATCCAGATGGGGGGGCATCTCTGCTTCACATGGTCAGTCATGGACTTTGGAATCCTCTTTGTTCTTCCAGCAGATGGGAAAGAGAAAGAAGCCTGAGGGAGGGAGGTTTTTAAGGACCAGCCTGGAAGTGGCACACATCTTTTCCATTTCCATTCCATTGACCAGAACTCATCATCTGACCTCACCTAACTGCAAGGGAAACTGGAAAACATAATCTGACTTGTGCCCAGGAAAAAGAAGAGACAAAAGACGATGTTGACTGGAAATTGAAAGGAAATGGGCAAGCCAGGGCATTGAGGGTTTTACTGAAATAGAGAAAATAACCAGGATTGAGGGAAAAAGGGGGTAGGGTTAGAGATTGAAGTCAGTGGTGGGATGCTGTATCTCAAGGTTTAAGAGGCAAGAGAACGCCACCTGAGAGTCAGAGATGTTATTGGACTAAGAAGGAGCAGACACTGGAGGAGGGGAAGGTAAACGATAGCTACAGATATTTGAGGAACATTATTTGTCTTCAGAAGGTGTGGGTAGCCAAAAAGAAATGAGTATGAAATTTGCTGGATTTGAATATGTTAAGGGCCAGAAGGACTGATGTGGCATTTTCATAACTGATAATCCATTCCTCTAGTTATGAGAATCTAGAGCAGGATGGCAAGGCTGACATGCTCCTTGGCCCAGACTGCATTCAAGTGCAGTTGTACAACTAGGAAGACTTTTTTTCCTTCGTCAGGGAGCAGAGCAGGTCCTTGCAGGAGGCTAGGTATCAGTGCACCTCCTAGTCTCGGGCGTGTTGTCTGTTTTGTTTCCCACCAGCGTGTCTTCTGTTGCTCTAACTTTAGACTGGAGGGTGAAATTTGACTTTCTTAAACTCACAAGTCTCCGGATAACTGGATTCTCACCCTTCTTGAATTGTAGGCTGCAAGCAGAAAACACTTTT